GCAAAACATTACTTGTAGTACTTGTTACAATGTTCTCGGTAGAAAATGCAGTGAATGGAAGCAAAATATTTCTTTATTACAATATCGGTTTCCTTCTAACTTTCATAATCGTTAGTACGTAAGGTGACACCTTTCTTTAATGGAGTTCTGGCACACCTCTGAACTGCAGTGTCGAAGATTCTGCAGAAAGAAAGTACTTTTCTGTGTTCACCGTTGGTGAGACACTAGCGCGAGATGGAAATTAATCACTGCAACAGTCTGTAAACAACCGCGTAAGTTCCTCAATATTTGTTTCTATCTTTTACAGTACGCTTAAGGAGGTCAGCGAGAAGGGTAGGTATCGCGAGTTGTAGGCCGTGAATGCGTGCCCAGCCTGCGACCCTGTCGCAGTTTCGTACACTGTCAAATCTGATACGGTTGCAAGATTTCACTTCCAAGCAGGTAATTTTGACTGCACGTGAAAAATCTCAAAAATGTACGTCATACAGGCAGTCACGATCGTTTAAGACTGATTATAGCGAGGAAAATCGTCTGTTTCATAAAGCCACTGAACCATAAACTGAATTGTCGTAAATGATTTACTCGTGGCAACAAAAATTTCTGCAGAGACAAAATCCAAGACCTCTGTCAGGGCCACCCTATAATGACACGCTTTCTCGGCTACTGGATATGTGATTGACGACTTGTAAATTGTACATGGCATATGGCGTTGCTGTGAACTACTGTGATGACCGATGATAGTTCTGTCGAAACGTTGGATACGTGTGAAATAAAGATTTTTTTCGCTTGCCATGCTGTTGACTGCAGAATCAGAATATGTGCCCGATTATGTGTTGAAAAAACTGTAAATATTATCATTTGTATAATTGATGAATAGTATCGTGACCATTTTACTGGTTCTTCATTATCCGAAAAAACATGAGTGAGACAACATCATGAGAAGAAAAGTAGAACTTTTAAACAGGACTAGCTGTATGTATTAGTTTGTATTACTTGTTAAAGTAAATACGCTTCATGCAATCTGA